AGAGCTGTTTGGCAGTTAGTGTAACCCAGACACAAATGCTCATAGGCACTTCCTTGATTATTATTAATTAAAGTTAATTATAGCACTGCTATATTTGAGCTACTGGAGCATGCAAAGACAAAACTGGAGCCACAAACAATAAGCTTGTTCCTCTATTGCTTTTATTGAACATTTTCAAATTTGAAAGAGCTCTCCAAGGTGGGTAGAAGGATGGGGCCTGAGGCTCTTCCTCTCTGAAAATGTAGCTGAGTCCTGCCAGCTTTATCGGTACAGAATACCACTGATGCTGATAGTTTGCTGGAGGTGACTGGCAGCATCTTCTTACTGCATGGTGATAGATGCTGGTGGTACTACTCATGCTGCCTACTGTAACAGTGATGGATGTGGGTGGAGCACAAGATTGATGGTAATGGTGGTATTGATGGATGCTGGTGATATGTCTAGCTGGCACTGAAAGAGATGTTGTGGTAATGAGTGCAGATACAGCGAGTAGCAATATCAAGAGGAGGTTTGGAACTAGTAGTGATTGATGGTCAAAGCTTTAGTGATGGAAGTTGATAACATTGAGGATGAATGTCAGTGGTAACAGAAATCAATACTGGTAGCATTAATGTAGCCAGTGGTTGTGTTACTAATGAATGGTGAGTGATCATGTTACCAAAAGGTGTTAGAATTGCTTTTATGGATGTGAATAGTAAAAGAAAGAATACTATTGTATACATGGAGAACAATGGCAGCAGTGACAAATTTCAGAAGTATTATGAAACATTGCCAATCACATTGGCCAAAGACAAAGATGCATTTGCTTGAGGATTTTGGCATCTTTAGCAATGGATGCTGCTGTGCTCTTTTTAAAAAGCTTGGCATTTTCGACAGAGGATGAAGCACTCCTGCCAATGGCTGCAGAAACATCTGGGATCAATATCAAGAATGAATTATAGGATCGCAATAATAAATGATATTATTGTTATATTGTTGTTTATCTACACTGGGACAGTGTTAGACCAACTTTGCACATTACTAGAAGTAATTTCTTAACAGAAAAATACTTATTTTCAGTAGAAAATAAAACCTGACTCAAGTATATGAAGGCACATAATTGTGGTTTATGTCATGTAATGATAAAATATCTAAGCTAGTTCTGTAAAATCATATATAATCGAGTGTGCAAGACAGTGTGAAACTTTATTTTGCAATAAAATGTAACATCTATAATGCAGTATAAGAAGGCAGTACAAAATAACTGTTTTAAAATCAGTAATTTAAAGCAACTAATTTGTATATGAAATGAGGGAGAAATTTTCAATTTGCCAAGGAAGGTTTGCCCCAATACACAGACATTCTTATATCATATGAAACAATATATAAGACAAGTCTACAAAAAGAAGAAAATACAATTACAACTTACAAAACTGACACTACAAACCACATTAAACTGCTACACTAAAACATACACATTAAACAGAAACAGAAAAAGAAGGAGGTAAGTGAATGACCTCCAACTTTCCAGCTAATACAGGCATGGGCAAAGTAAGGCCCAGGGGCCATATGCAAAGTAAAGCCCAGGTCCTCCTGATTTTCCCAGTCTTCTTGGCATTAGGACATGGTGGCCTGATGCACCCTTTTGCCAAAAATATGGGGGAGGAAGGCATGTAGCAGCTAAGAGCCCTCTGGAGTGCTCTCAGTCACTGTGTGTCTCACTCTCCTCCCGGCATAAGGACAGTGTGAGTGACCCCATTCTTATGCCAGGAGAATGGCTTGAGGGAGGCACACAGTAGATGAGAGCCCTCTGGAACTTAATCAGCCGTCACCTGTCTCACCTTCCTCCTGGCATAATGCCAAGAGGACAGCCCGAGGATTGGGGGAGGAGGATGGGAAGGAGGATCAGAGCAGACACTGTATGTCCTACCTTCCTCCCAGCATAAGGATGGAATGAGCAGCCCCGTCCTTATGCTGGGAGGACAACCTGAGGATGAGTCGGGCCCTGCCCTGCTCCTTTCTGGCCCTGTCTTTTCCAGGGACCTCCCCACCCAGGGTGTTCCCGGCCTCCATCCCTTGTGGCCTAGCCCTCCTGGCCAGGCACACAATGCAGCCCCAAGGCAAAAAAAAATTGCCCACGCTTGGTCGTAGTTACCAGAATGAAATACCACCTCTAAAATATACTTTAAATAAGTAAACATATTTATAAATGGATATGTTTTTAAAACATATTTGAAACTCAGCACAATTTCCACTCCTTGATTTATCCATGGAATAATATTCCATATTCATTCACAAGTCTGACCAAAAGAGAGAAAATATATCAATGGAAATTGTTCAATAAAAGTAAATATATATAAATCTGAAAATTTATAAAATATAAAAGCAATCTATGTACAGATAAATTCATCACTAAAATATAAACCACAAATTTCAAGAGAGTTAATTGTATCCTCATCTATTGCCTGACCTCGTGTAATTATAGATTTGTATATGATGTGTGGGTATATGTTAAAGATCAAAGAGGGGAACGTTCCCTCATTGCATCAGGTACCCAACTACCCTTGGCCATGAATCAGCACTAACATTTCTCCTTGTTAATCTGTTTTCAATGGATCAGAGTACCTGCTACACTTGTGTTGTTTTTCATGCATGATTGTAAAACTCTGTTTTTCTACCACAGTGAGTATCTCCATCTAAATTTATTGTAATAGTACAATCACCTGTTAGTGTTTTGGTCTAATTAAAATAAAGAATGATCCCTTTGGCACCATAGGGATCAGCCTTTATTGAATAGGAACCACATACAGACAATTATTCCAAATGCGCTACATTCTTCTGTATCCAAATGTAGGTGGTGTGCCTATTTATTTATTTATTTATTTAAAACATTTATATTCTGCCCTTCTCACCCTGAAAGAGACTCATGGTGGAGCACAGCATATATACAGCAAACATTCAATGCCAGGACAAGAATTCATATAAGCTGGAGAAGTTTAGCCTTTCCCTTCTGCAGTTTCTCCTGGTCTAAACCACCCTTCATTCGTTTGACCTTCCAAAGGAAAATTACAAAGCATACATGCCTGAATATTTTCTCCAGCCCAAGTTATTTAGCTGCCTGAAGAAAAAGCAGCAAATGATGCCCTGTGCTGACCCAATTCAAGATGCCTAGAACTTCAAAGCCAGTCTAGTTATTTTAAATTGTGAAACAGAAAATTCCACAAGCTCCTCTCCATCCATCACAGTAGAAATACAATTAAATACTTAACGGCTTGCTGTTATTTCATGATGCTCAGTAATTGTTGCCTGAGGTACCTTTTGGTATGGATGGCCCTTTAACAGGGCATATTGCAGCTCTGAGGAGAGTTGTAACAGGAAATTTGTTCAAGCCGCATTGGCATGTTTCCCTATTGTGTCCTTAGGCTATGGTCATCCTTCTCTACTTTTCTGAATCACCATCATCATCACTTATCTTGATAAGTATCCCCCGTCCCCAATTAAAAGTATTTGTTTTGAGAAATTCTTTTCTTTTCAGTAGCTAATAAAATCAGTGAGTGCAACACTAAGACCTGTATCTAATTGCTATCTCCAGCTAGAGTAAACCTATTGAATGATGCAGTTTATATAAGTGTTGTCTTAGCATTCATCAATTGATTAAATGCATCAACTCTACCTGGGACTGGCAATTAGAGTTAAGTCATAATAGATAGCAGAACACAAGGAGAAACTTTTTCTGAACGTAAGCAGAAGTACAGTGACTTAGCAGAAGAGATACTGCTGAAGTCAGCAGGGCATTTTCTCCCTCAAGAAATAATGTGCACAGAACTGAAAAACAAATACATTTCCATACAAGACAAAAGAAAAAATGACCTGCAACTTTTGGTGCTGAACAGAGTCATTAGCTCTGCAACAAACTTTTCCCAAAGAAGTTCACAGGGTGCCTCAAAAGGAAGAATGCCAGCCTGATGAACATGTGATGGATAGGATAACATGCAGGCTCATACTTTAAGGCTTTTGGGGTCCAGTCCTGACCTCAGATCCTCAATCCTTGGTTGTGGCCAGGAATGTCTTTGCCCAACCAACGCCCTAAATATACCAGTTCCCACAGAATACACATCTGACCAGTGTAATAAATACCTTAAACTCCATTACATGTGGATAGCTACAATGAGCTCTATGTAGGGATGCCTTTGAAGAGCATTTAGAAAATGTAATCAGTCTGTTGTAATTGGATTGTTGACAGGATCCCCATAAGTGAAGCAGATTGATGTGGAGATCCTTGCATTTTGTTTCCAGGTAGTATAATACAACATGCTGCTGATTACCTTTAAATCCTTGAATGGCTTAATTTATCAGCAAGATGACTGAAAGATCATCTGCTCTCATGCAGGCCAGCCCACCCATTGAATTAATCTTATGAGGCCCCTGGTGTCTAGGTGCCTCAGGAAGGGGAAGGATGTGACCTTCCTGATATTAAGGAACTGCAAGTCCCAGCAACCAAAGCCAACATGGCAAATAATCCTGACCGAATTTTAGGTCCTGAAACTCCCTTCCAAGAGAGACTTGCCTTACTTCCTGATGGATGAACTTGGGAGCCGGGAAATGCCTTCTCTTTTAAAATGACATGTAGTTTATGATTTTAACTGGATATTTTTAATTTGTCTTTTTTTCTCATAGTTTAAATATATTAATTCATATTGTATTCTTATGTTATGCTGGTGCTTTCATGTTTAGCATATGTGTTGTAAACATTTCTACTTGTTTATTTTTATGTTTAGTGTTTTTGCACTTGGCCACCTTAAACTTTTAAGAGAAAATGTGAGGTATAGATATTTCAAAATAATTAAATATCGTTAAACCCTTTGGCAATATGAGATGGCTTGAACTCTCTGTATGTGTGCCAGTTTGGACCACAATGTTGAATTAACACATGAAATGCATGTGATAAAAACACTCTCATATTGAAAGAGAGAGAGGATTTGATCTTTATAAACATTCATTTGTTCATCTTGAAATCCTAGACCTTCATGAGTACCAAGCCAGGAATTGAGAGAAACGAGAAGAAGGCACGGCCCTGAGCAGGACCTGTCCCTAAACAACAAGGAGACGTGAGAGGTAAAGTATAACACAAGTCTATATCTGAAACTATTCCATTTAAAACGGCTTTCTAACTATTGTAGCGGTAGAATGTAGTTCAGTTTCCGAGGCAGAGTTTGGAAATCTCATCTTTTTGGACTACATTTCCCCAGACTCTTGTATCTAGCTACTGGCATTTTTAAATGGATATAGACAATTTGAAGTGAGTTCAGAGAAGGACAATAAGGATGAGAAGAGGTAATGAGAACCAACTATATGAGGAGATGTTGAAGGAGGTTGGCATGTTCAGCTTGATAGTGAGAAAATTGGGGGGGGGGGGCTGCTGAGGGCTGTTGAGAAGAGGAGGGCAGAAGCTTGTTCTCTGGCATCTCAGAGGGTAGTATAGGCCTTATGGCTTTAAGTTTCTGGAGGCAGGAACTAATTCTAATGGTTGCAATAGAGTAGCACTGTAGTACTATAGTAGCATTGTAGAGCTCTGCTTCTTAAACTGTGAGTCCTGATCCCAAATTCAATACTAGGGCCACAAAAAATTATCAACAGTAAAAGGTCTCTGGATGCTAATCATTTACACAAATCTGTCAGCAACAACATGCAGTGTTTACAGTGGACCCTGTTTAAAATGCTTCTATAAAAAGGAAAATCAGCCTGTTTAGCAAACCTTGTGGATTCTGGTTTATTATTAGTAAATGTTTAATTCTTATACCTGTTTTATATACCTATTCCTGCAGTCACGTATTCTATGTGTAGGCAGGGCCATAAAAAAACCTAGAGTCTGAAGAATGGCTAAAGAGTTGGCTGTTCCTATCCTCAGGTACACAAAAGGTGCATCTATAGTATACCCACTAAGGGCTTGTCTTAGGCTAAATTTGTTCAGACTGCAGATAGGTTTTTAGCAACTCACTAAACTACAACTCCCAGGATCCCATAACATTGAACCATGGCAGTTAACATGGTGCCAGGCCTGTAGCCGGGGGGGGGGGGGCTTGAGGGGCTTCAGCCCACCCCCCCGAAATTCTCATGGTGGTCCGCGAGAAAGGCCTTACTGGTACATTATTTAAACTGTTATGTTTATTCATATCATGATCTGATCACCATGCTCAATATATCCCATATGCATGGGGGTATTGGGATAATGATACAAAAGGTTTGCTAGGGTAGATCCTCAGCCCCCCCCCCCTTTGAATCAAACTCACCCCCCCATCAAACTCAGCCCCCCCCAATCAAAATCCTGGCTACGGACCTGCATGGTGTCAAGCTTCATTAATTCTACAGTTTCTACATATTCTATAGACATATCCACAGCCTGACAAAGTTTAGCTTTTTAACATTTGCCCCCTACCTATTGCTGAGTTGTGCAAGTCTGCTTTAGCTGTAGAACTTTACTTTAAGCAAGGGTTAGACCTATGATCCATAGCGCCCCTTCCAATTGTGTGATTTTATGATATCTCCAGATGTGTTGTGGGATGGTAATAATAGCAGCTTTCTTTGTTCAGCTGAGAAATGGGGTGAAGGCTGGGCAAATTGTAACGTTTTTGCTCTTGTTCTCATGATAAAAGAACAACGAAAAAGAAGGTCATGAGAAAACAAGGCTAAAGCTGATCTTCAGAACATTAATTACAGCCCACATGTAGCCTGAAATCCGTGTACATTGCAAGGAAAAGATAATGACAAAATATTATGAAAATTGCTATAGCAACGTCTTGTCTATTACTGACCTACTTTGTGACAAAGAATATTGGATGCATGGCAGGCTGAAGACTTCCACAAATGTCTCAAGGCAAATCTTTGTTTTATTTACGTTGACTTAGTTTGATTAGCTGGGATGGAAATCCTTGCAGTTTTTGTCAGCCAAAGCCTTCTTCTCAATGTGGCCTTCAGGGTGTGTGATGAACTAATTTCCATAGAAAGTGCCTCTATCGTGGATCTTTGGGAACACAATGACCCACATTATTTCAGGCTAAGATTATTAGCTTTCCATTTCATTTGACAGTTTAGGAATGATATTTATCTGGTTTCTGGCCTCACCCCTGTTGCTGTTGTTGTTGTTACTCATTATCATCCTACTTTTTCCCAGTTTAGAACTCAAATGAACTTACAATACTTAACACAAACATAATTAAAGATTAACAGCATACAAAAGCAAAAAAAGGTAGTTAAATGATCAAAAAATATAAAACTTGTAAAACACATACAACATTTTTTAAAAAGTAGCAAATAGAAAATCCAGCAAATTATGTAAGCCTACTCCCCATAAGCAATCAGTCTGAGAGGTTCCTGTTCTGTATTTTCTCCAGGTATACCTGTGGGGGTGGTAAGACAGAAAGGCAGGCCTCCCCAGAAGATCTTAAAACATGGACAAGTTTATATGGGGAGAAATAGTCCTTGAGATAACCTGTTGCTGAGCTGTGTGGAACTTTATAGGTTATAATCAGTGCTTTAAAATATGCCTAGGAACAGGCCAGCAGCTGGTGGAAGTATTGTAGCAAGGGAGTTGTGTGTTAATCAAAATGAAATTGACTTATTGTATTTTAAGTGATCATTACTTAAGCCTTTTATGGCTATTCTAAGCATGAATGACCAGTGCATTACAGGGAAGGAGTTGAATATTTCATTGCATCACCTGTTCTCTTTGTTTGTTTGTTTGTTTGTTTGTTGAATTGATTGCAAGCCAAGCTTCAGGGCAACCTACAGTGACAGGTTTGCAAAGCAATTAAAAAACACATATAAACATTATATGCATATTGCGACCATTCATATCCATCCATTCATGAGCAGCTCAGAAAAAAATGTGACCTCCCTAAATGGCTACAATTACTCATGTTGTGCTAACCATATGTTTAAATGCTTGCAATGTGTTGTACATAGAGCTGCCTTTAAGAATGATTTGAGCACTAAGGTTGGTCCAAAATAGGGCCACTGAATTATCCACTGAAGCCTCTCAATTCTGATCTTTTTGGAGAGTTGCCAAAATTTGAAAAACAGTAATTTATAGTAATTCCTGCTCAACAAAAATACCAGTCAAATATGAATGCATGCAAACATGCCAGGCCTTCTGTTATTTTATATTTAAAGCTTAAATATAAAAATGGGAGAAATATCACAATGCTGGGAGAGATATGTTCGGCCAATCAGGGAGCATTTATCTGTCTTCTCCCAAAAGAAAATCAGTATTCAACCTGATCAATATTGAGTGGACAAGGCAATAGGGGAGCACAACTAAAATGATCAAATGTCTGGAAACCATGCCCTATGAGAAGCAGCTTAAAGTGCCGGGTATATTGAGTCTTCAGAAGAGAAGGTTGAGAGGAGACATGATCACCATGGTTAAATATTTGAAAACATATCATAAGGAAGAAGGAGCAGGCTTGTTTTCTGCTGCCCTGGAAACAAGGACTCAGAGCAATAGGTTAAAATTACAGAAAAGGGGATTCCACTTGAACATTAGGATGACCTTCCTGATTGTATGAACTGCTCAACAGTGAAATTCACTGCCTCAGACTGTGGTGAAAGCTCCTTCTTTGGAGGCTTCTAAACAGAGGCTGGATCTATCAGGGATGCTTTGTGCTTTTCCTGCATGGGAAGAAGTTGTGCTAGATGACCCATGAGGTCTCTTCCAACTCTGTAATACTATGAACTTCCATCATATGATGATGCCTTTAAGACCAATCCCAACTAAGAAAACCAAATTGAAACAAAATAGCTTATGATATTGTCAAGGACATCCTGACAGTGCAAAAGACAGGGGAATTGTACCAGCTGTCAGGAACAGTTTTCTAGTGCAAGAACTGTCCTTCAGAGACAAATACAAGCAGACACAGAGTGTTTTTAATCTCCCAATCTGTTCGTTAGTTCTGTCTGCCTGCAAATAAAATGTTGAGCCTTCACTAGCATGAATTACCAGAGGAGAAGATCCCAGAAGGAGAGTAGTTACTTTTCCTGACCAGACTGCCTTCATGTCAGAGTTTGAAAAATGTTATATTTTTGGACTTATCAATAGCCATGCTGAATAGGAGTTTCTAGAAAGATGTGGTCCCAAACAAAACTTTTTCACCAACTCTGATTTGTTTACAGGGGATAGAATGCCTTGAAAAACCCAAGGAGCAGAAAAATTAATTGAGAAGACTTCACTTAAATCCTTTGACTAGAAGTTTCCCCAACCCTGCTGTCCTGAGAATGCATCTCCTTTTGGATGAATAGTTAGTTCAGGATAGGAATCAGACACTTGGTTGTTAAGCGGGGTCAGTATTAGTTGTTGTTGTTGTTTGTTAATTAGTTAATACTTGGACAGAAGACCACCAACAAATATCAAATGATGAATAGTTAGTTCAGGATAGGAATCAGACACTTGGTTGTTAAGCGGGGTCAGTATTAGTTGTTGTTGTTTGTTAGTTAGTTAATACTTGGACAGAAGACCACCAACAAATATCAAATGATGTAGGCTATAGTTCAGAGGAAGAAACTGGCAATACCACCTCTGAATATTCCTTGCCTAAGAAACCGCTGTGAAATTAATGGAGGTGCCATAAAGAGCTTGAAGGCACATACACATACCTGTTTTGAACATTATTTCGCCACAAAAATCATATACAGAGAGAATTAGTCCTGATGATCTTCACCTTAGAATAGACTAGTCTCAAATATAAAAAAAATCATGTGGGTCAGTTTATGCCCATCTCACCTTAGAAAAGCACTTCACTGGGGTCCCTTCCAGACAGACCCAAAACGTGAGACCTGTCTTGCTTTTTACCTGAGGTGTCTCAGGCAAAAGCAAATTAATGCAGAGTAAACTTGTAATTAAACACCTCTAAAGACCCGAACATTTAAGCTAAGGTCTAGATCTTTAGAGATGAGGGCCCTGCAGGGACTGACTTCCAGGACTGCTTCCACATTCCTGGGTGTCAGTCTCCACTGCCATTCCACTTCTTTGGGCCTCCGAGTTTGCACCTCAAACTTACTTCTGATACTACAGGCCCCTCTCTACAGTCCTTCTCATGCTTGGAAATGACACATCAGGAGGA